CATCTCAGAGTGATGTTTACAGAGTCAGTCCCTGTGTCAGGGAGTCACAGCCCGAGAGAGTCATGTTGAGGGGTGTGGGGGTGACAGGGGGATGCAGGGTTATCAGGAGATTCCAGAGACCAGAGGGTAGCCAGGATGCTCCTGGTTCTCTAAGCCCTCCCCGAGACCTGACTCATGACCTGGCCCTCTGCACAGGGCAAGGGTGTGGGATCCAGGAGGCTCCCTCCAGCCCCACAGCATATGCAACCTCCTTGGTTCCTGGGACCATTCCCGGTTGAGGCCACAGGAATGTGACGATCCCCAGCCTGGCCCTGTGGGCCTCACAGGCGGGGAAGCTTCCTTTGCTAGTCTCATCCAGTTTGGATAGCAGGGTTTGGGTTCCATCATTCCATCTTCCCTAGCTGGGAATCCCGTTGTGGATGGCCACAGCACACAGCGCCATGGAGAGGGACACAGGTATCGAATGCCAATACTGAGTAAGTCAGTTGTATCCATTAAGCAAATCACTGAACTTCCTGAGACCTGTGATTTCTCATCTGTAAAAAGGGCCAACATTTCTACTTTGCATAGTAAAGACTGAGTGAGACAGATGTGTGTAATGCTGAGACCCAAGCACAGCTTTGTCCTTCCATCTGTGGTCAGACAGAGGATCGTTTTCCTGCCACCGTGGACAGTGAGGGAGGCAGAGGCCTGGCTCAGCCCACGGCCCGGCATTGGCCACCTTCCAGGATGCCCTGCCGCTCATGGACTGCAGGGGGCAGCAACGGGACACACAGCTGATGCCAGGCTGCTCCAGGCCAGGCTGTCTGGCTTTCCCGCAGTCTGGGATAGAAAGTTCTTTGCATCAGTGAATGCAGCTTGGGTCGATTTGTTTTTAAATGGGTGATGTTTGAGATTCCTTTATGAAAGCCCTTCACATCTGGCATTCAAAGAAAATCATCAGTCTAGACTCTCAGGCCCGATAGCAGCTTGTCTGAAATTTGGGCCTGTCTTTCCAGTAAACGTGCCTCCCTGCTCCAAGCCTGTATGCTGCCACCCCCACTCTCCTTCTCTTCTTCTGACCTTTTATCTCAGCGGGAGCCCTGACTAGAAAGCGGGTTCTGGAAATGTGGTGTGTTTCTCATTAAGTTTCTGCAGCATGAAAGCCACGTGATGCAAAGCTCTCTCTGCCCCCCTCCTTTCTTTACCCTATGCATCTACAATAACTCCTGCTGCTTAGATTTTATTTAATTTGAGACAATTGAAGAAAGAAACCTTGTTGATATGAAGATTTAAAAAAAATCTGTTTCTAGGGGCCTGGTGGTATGTTCCGTTCACTTTCCTTTGACATTGAGGTGGTCAAACAGAATTCCCAATGGCATCTGTCCTCTGCTAGGGCCCACATGTCTTCTGTTCCTTTTCTTTCCAAGAAAGAGAAGAAAGAATCTGTAAATTCCTTCTTGAAAACTTGAGGCTATCACTTGGGAGCTTTAAAGGTTGGAGGCTGATGAGTGGATCCAGACTCCTGAGGGTCCCTAAGGAACGCCTGGGGGAGGGGAGGTGTGCTATAAGGAGTCTTGCAGCTCTAGGAGGGTCATCGCTGTGAATCAGTTGCTCCTGTCCCTAAATCTGTTGGTAACAGGGGAGGGGGAGAGGAAAGAGGGTGAAAGAAAGAGAAAGGACACAGGTTCTGATGATATTTAAGTCACCTTGTCTCCTTTATCTTTCCCTGGGGCCCATGGCCTTCCTTCTCCTTGAGGCTACCTCTGGGAAAGGTAAAGCCACAAGTCAGAGTTTGTGCAACTGGTGTTTCAAAATAGGCCCACAGGTTCCTGCCTAAAGAAAGACCGGTGAGGGCAAGAATCAAGTCACACCTGCGCAGGTGAGTTTGTGGTCATGGTGGTATGGCAGTGAGTCTCTTCTCATCCACTGCCCTGGGACTCAGTCACTGGGACTCCTCTTACCTCAGGCCTCCACCTTGGCTTTGGCCAGCCTTTTATCTTGCTTCAGTGGAAGCTCATGGATAAGCATCATCTTCACAGTTCAGGGCCCGGCGCATCTCTCTGCTGGTCTGCTTTTCTTCATAAAGCTTTATTGGCACACAGCCATACTCATCAATTACATTCTGCCTGTGGCTGCTTTTCTACCAGGAGAGTAGAGTTGAGTAGTTGTTACAAAGACTGCATGGTCCATGAAGCCTAAGATGTTTATTATCTGGTTCTTTACAGAAAAAGTTTGCTGACCTCTGGTCTATGGCTTTGGTTATATTATGTTTTCCCCCAGAGTGAGCCAGAGTTGTTCCCAGAGCTACACACAATCATTTTATTTTGTGGTGACCAGTCACTTGTATGTGGCAGAGGAAGCTGTTCCAGGATTCCAGCCAGAGAACAGGTGAAAGAATATGTATTAGCTGGATTGCCATAAAAAAACATCATGGATGGTGGGACTTAAACAATAGAAATTAATTTTTTCAGAGTTCTGGAAGTTGGTAAGTCCATGATCAAGAGGCCAGCAAATTCAATTTCAAAACTTGAGGCCTCTTCTCATGGCTCATAGGTGGCTGCCATCTTGCTGTGTCCCCACTTGTCCTGCCCTTGGTAGTGTGTGTGGGGAGGAAGGGAAACCCTGAGCTCTCTGTGTCTCTTCTTCTTCTTCTTCTTCTTCTTTTTTAAAATTTATTTATTTATATAAGCACTGGGTACAGTCAGAAGTGTGGGAGGGTGAGAGGATTCACCAGAGACAGAGCTGGGAACAGAACAGGCAGACTGACGAAGTACACTGCTGAGGGGAGCAGCGGGTGGCAGGAGAGGTCTGTGCGCCATGTGGGACCCTCGCCTGAGGCTGGGGATCGAACCTGGTACTGCAGAGGCTGTGGGCAGCTTTGCAGCCCAGCGCTCAACCGCTGTGCCACCAGGGGAGGCCCTCTCTGTGTCTCTTCTTATGTGGATTCTAATCCTTCTGCATCAGGCCTCTACCCTGAGGACCTCAATTAACCTTAATTGCCTCCTTGCAAACCCTTTCTCCAAAAACAGCCATGTTGGGGAGTTAGGGCTTTCATATAAGAATTTGGTATGTGTGGAGACACAATTTAGTCCACAGCAGACTCCTAATCCTTCTCTCAGGAGAATTTCTAATTATGCCAACCTGACAGATAAAGAAAGTAAAGCAGAGGGAGGTTAGATGCCTACTCAGTTTTTAGGTCAAATTTTCCAGAAGCAAACCTTGAGATGAGGACTTATGCACAGCGATGCACTTAAGATGTGGCATCTGGGACTGGTCAGCGAGTCAGGCAGCACGAGGACCAGAGCACAGGTGAACTTCTGCAGAGGGCATCTTCACCCGGCCCTGCAGGCATTGGGCTCACCCCCAGAGCCCTAGACACAGGACCTGTCAGCCCCTGGCTAAAAGCTGCACTGCAGGGGCGTCAGGTATGGGTAAAAGCAGCTCTGGTCACTTGAGGGCAGGCCCTCAGGTGGGGCTTCAGATGCAGGAATTGTGCAGCCACCATAAAAGGGATTGGAGTTCATCTGGGCAGGATGCTGAGTGGGCACCACATCCCACAGAGAAAAGTCTGAGTCAGTCACAAAATGGATATGGAAGAGGACCAGGGAAAACAGTCTGGCACAACCATAAGAATGTTCGATGTTTGGAAGTCCTCTGAGGAAGGGGCAAGGTTTCCCCTCACCCCCAGGTGCTGTGCATAGGAGTACAAGGTTGGCTTGAGGGCTGCTTGGAGAGCGGCTGAGGAGGGGCTGGAGAGAGGCTGCAGTGATGCAGATCAGGCTGGATCAGGCTTAGAGGGTCAGTTCAAACCAGGCCTCTCCTCTGTCAGGACATCTGTCCAGGCCTCACAGTCCAGGAAGGTACGAGCTTGACTTTCTGCTCAATAAAGGACTTTTCTGACTTTTGGTTTCAAAGTCTTCGTCATGGGGGGAATGTGAGGCAGAGGGGTACTGAAATGTTGGGGGTGCGATGGGTGTGAATAGAGGACTCATGTGTAGCACCAGTGGGATTTTGATTCTATCTTGATTTTTTTTACACAGCACAAGCCCAATAGAATGGTGGTGATTTCATGTGTTTTTGTTAGTTTTGTCACATCGCCTAAAATTTCTTTTTCCTTTGGGAGAATTGAACAGAAAACTATTAGAAATAATGAGAGTTCAGTAAGGCAGCCAGTCACAAAATAAATGTACAAAAATCAATAGCTTTCCTATTTCCAACAGTAACCACTTAGGAGAAATAATGGAAAAGAAAGATCTCATTCACAGCAGAAACAAAAGATATTTATCACCTGGAAGTAAACTTGGAGGGGAAGACGCTTGTGCTGCCCCCGTCCTCCCTGTGTCCCAGGCAGCCCCGGGAGTGGGAGGCAGAATTGTTATGACTACAGCCGGTTCCCGGCCCCTCCCCTCAGACCTTTGCCACAGGCTCTCTTGGTGGGAGGTTTGTGCCTCCTCTGAGGCATGCTGAAGATATAAGCTTGTGACAGCTGCTCTGGGCAGCTGCCAAGGGGCTGCTGGGCCTGCTGGTTGCCCGTGGTGGTTGCCGTGGGTGGTCATCCAAGCCCAGGGGCTTGGGCAGGGGCTGAGTTGCAGAGCCCAAGGTGTTGCTGGTTTCCTGGAGGGCCAGCTGACTCTGGAAGGTTATAGGATTGGCCTCTTCCACCCCTCTGGCACGTGCCCAGAATGAGCTGGCCGCAAGGTGTAGGGCACAAAAGATAACATTGGTAAGAGTTTCTCGACACCCACAGGCTGTCATGCCTGGGTTGGGCTAGGTGGAGGAAGAAATCCAGGCCTGTTTTGTCCCAGGAGCTTTACGGGTTACCTCTGAGTTGATTGGAAGCATTACCTGTATTAGCCAGGATGTTTTTCCCTTGCAAATGGCAGAAAGCCGAGCTTAACTTGTCTCCCCCTTCTCAAAACAAAACAAAACAAAACAAAACGAAAACAAAAGCAACTACCAAAAGTTACAGTTACCAAGTTACCAAAAGATATAACCCATCTCCCTTCAGAAGAGTGCACACCAGCTTGCCAGCCCCACCGCCACCTGAGGAGTCTGCTTTGGCCATTCTCATGGCTGACGGTAATGAAGGCCGTTCCAGCGTCCCAGGGAGCAGCCTGACACAGCAACTCGAAGGACAGGTGGGGCAGTACCCCAGCTTCCTTGCCCCCCGGTGGGAGGGCTTTGAAATGCGTGTTCCACATGATGTCCTGGGAATCCCCAGGGAGAGCCAGCCCATGTTGGCCTGCAGTAGTTTCCTACTCGGTGATGCACCTTTCTTCATGTTTTTTTAAATTAAAAAAAAATCCTTTTTTTTTTTAAATTGAGGAATAATTGACATATATAGCATTATATTCATTTCAGGTATACAACATAGTGATGTGTTATTTGTATATGTTGTAAAGTGATCACCCTAAGAAGTCTAGTTAATATCTGTCACCATTCACAGTTACAAGAATTGTTTTTCTCATGATGAGAAATTTTAAGTTTACTCTCTTAGCAACTTTCAAATGTACAGTACAGTATAATTAACTAAAGTCACCGTACGGTGCATCACACTCCTAGGAGTTATTCATTTTATAACTGGAAGTTTGTACCTTTTGACCCCCTTCATGTAATCTTTTTGTTGGCTGCCTTCTCTTCCCTGTCTCACTTGCGCATTCTCCTGGATTGCTTCAGAAAAAAATCCTTTGCATATGAATCCTTTTAGGGTCAGAGGAGAGAGAAAGAGGGACAGAGAGCTTTAGCCTCATATAACTGCAGTCCAGACATAGTTGACTTCAGGTAGGATTGGATCCAGAAGACTCAAACATTATCACTAGGACTTGATCTCTCTCTTTCCATCACTTGGGTCTGTTTCTTCCCAGGCAGAAGTTTTTAACATAGTGGCTTACAGTCATCCCGGGCGTATATTCTCCCAACTAAACTACCCTAACAAGATAAAAAGAACTTATTTTTGTCAGTTGTTCCAAAAAATTGTTTGACTTGCAAGCTACTGGCCTGCTGTGCACACCTCTGAACCATTACTGAGGCCAGGGGGCGTGGAGTGGTCTTTCTGGCCAGTCCTGAGGCATGTGCTTGTGGTTTCCTTTCAGGTCCTCTTCTCTACACTCCCATTTTGCTTCTCCCACACACTCCATTGCATGTACTGGAGGAATCAGAAGCAAGGAGGAGGTATTAGAATTAGATAAGGACAGAAATTTGACTATGAACATGTGCTAACATCTGTCTACTGCAGAGGGAGGAAACCATGAAGCTATCTGTGCCTCTAGAATCTGATCACTTGACCACCAGACAATACTGGTGAACATTTCCAGAGAACCTGAGGGTAAGCCAGGCCACTGTTTTCCTCAGTGTTAGGAGATAAAAAGAAAATATCTCAGTTGAAGCACATATCCCTCTGCTCTTCTGTAGAAGATTTCTGTAGAAGAAATCTGGCTTAACAAGGAAATGGAAAGTAGGAAAGGAATTAGAGGGTGACCATTGCTCACCAGTCATCATCTTAACACTGTATGACTGTGATTCACTTACCACCTCATGGTGGTCATCTGAAACTGGGAGTCGTTACATTTAGTTGGACTGTTTAGCCTTTGCTTGGTCACGGCATTGCCATTCATCTAGATGCCTTCCCTGGGAGAATGGGGCTGGGAGAGGGAATTCTGCTTTGCTGGTTCCTTGGAGAAGATAAACTCTGTCCCTGCTAGTCTAAGTACCATGATACTGGACAGGAGAACTTTAACCAAGTAGAGCATAGTCACACATAGTAAAAGAGGTAGAAGCAATCCATCAGTGCTTGTGAAATCCCAGAGCTTAATAGCAAAGAATTAGTAGTTGGCTCAGATCCAGTCTGGAGAAATCTATTTATGTTGTCCATGTGGCAGGCAGGAGGAACAAAGGAGAGCTTAGCTCTGAGAGTGAAGACTCTGCTTGCACTTGCTATGACTGTTCTCAGTGCCCAGCACAGAGCCTGACACATAGTAGGTGCTCAGCATGTGAGTAAATGAACAAGTGGATACACATTGGTGACTTTTCCTTTTTCTCATTTTATTTATTTTTTTAAGATTTATTTATTTATACAAGAACTGGGGTATAAGCCAGAGGTGTGTGTGGTGGGGGGGTGAGAGGATTCACCAAAGACAGAATGGGGAGCAGAACAGGCAGATCTACTGAAGTACACCGCTGAGGGGAGCAGCGGGCAAGTCAGAAGAGGTCTGCTGCACCATGTGGGTCACCTCCCTGGCTGGGGATCGAACTCATGCTGCAGTGGCTGCAGATAGCTTCATAGGTTGCATCTTAACCTCTTGTGCCACCAGGGAGGCCCCCTTTTTCTCATTTTAAACAAGAAGCTTACTTAAACAACAAGACTCTTGACTTGAAGGGAAAATGATCTAGGAATCATTTCTTGTAATTTATCCCTACTTAAGGACAGATTGCCCTACATGCAAAGCTTCCTACAAAAAAGGTTACAAAATTGCCCTTGGTTTTACAATGATAAATGAAAACATTAAAATTCTCCAAATGAACAATGTATGCAAGAATTTTCATGTTGTTCTTTTCTTTCTTTCTTTTTGGTTAAACACTGAGAGCAAAATTATGTACTGGAATATAAAGATAAGAGCTGAATGAGCAGGCCACTCATGGAGAAAGGGGCTCTTTTCACAGAACCAGTATTTCTCTGCACCCCATCTCCATTTGATGTTGATCAAAACACACCATTGACATTTAGTTAAAAAAGCAATGTGCTTGTGCACATATACCAGTGACTTTATGTGCAATAAAGGAATGGGGAAGGGGAAGATGGAAAATAGAAAAAGCTATACTATAGTAGTCAGGATGTGGTGGAGTCAAATTGCTGTTTTTTAATTGAGAATGTCTTCTTGGTCTGCAGGAACAGTGTTCTGGGAGTCCAGTCATACGGTCCCTTTTTGGATTGACCCCTCCCATCTGCTGCTGGGACACAGGATGGCATCTCTAGCCTCACACCCAATCATGCAGGTATGTCTGTCTCATTGCTTGACTGTCCATCATATCAGAATCTGATCCACCTCACTGACAAAGTCTGTCATTCACGGTAGACTTTCATTAGTTTGCTAAGTGGTATGTGCCTCTTCATCTTTAGCTACACCACAGAGCCATCCTGACCCCTGCTAGCTTTTTTTTAAAAATAGTAATCTAATTTCCAAATGTCTTTCCATGACAATACATCATTTTTGATGGCTGTATAATAGTCCCCAATTGTTCAATTTTTAAACACTTTATTAGCAGTTCAAATTTACTTAATGATTTATTTAATTCCCCATTTTTGAAAGTTTACATCGAGGGGGGGTATTAAACAGTACTATGAATGAATATCAATGCACTTTAATTTTTATAAAATTTTTCAAACTATTTCCCAGAGGTATATGCAGAAAAGTAATGTTTGGTTAAGTAACATGCATGTTTTAGGCTTTTTTTTTTTTGATACATGCAACTAAATAGATATCCATATGCAATGAGGAAAAATGTAATTTATTTTTAAATTTAAGAGCTTACCCTTGACACAGTCTTGGGCTACATCTTTCAATCATATCTTAGCACAAATTAGCACTCCAAAGCTGATTACTTAATTTTGTAAATTATTGTTTAAGTTCAGAGGGCCACTGGAGAAGATTTGAAAATTCTTTGCTTGCTTTTTATTTCCATCATCCTGTTGTGACTCTTCGGGAAATCTCTGGAGAGGATGAGCATCTTGTCTCTGGGCTATGCTGCCAGGTCTCATGTAGTTTATATCCTGCTTTGCTTCCTCTCCACCCCCAAACCTCATTAGTGCTCACGCAGGATCGAAATTCCAAAAATACTTGTGGAGTTAAGTGTTGGCAAGAGTGTGGGAAACCCAGACTTGCACACACTGTCAGTGGGAGTATTAATTGGTACAGCCACTTTGAAGGCAATTTGGCAGCATCTATTAAAATGTAAAACGTGCATGCCTGTGATTCAGCAATTACACTTCTCTATGTCTTCTCAAGAGAAGCTTCCACACATGTGCAGGTGTTACTGCAGCACTGGTCATCATAGTTCAACCCAGGAACAACTCAAATGCCTATCAACAGGGGAGCGATTGGAATTCTGAAAAAACCTATGCAGTGTACAGCACTATACCATGTTAAATCACCCAGAGATGAAAAATTGGGTCCTGTAGGCCAAATCCAGGCCAGGAGACATGTTTTAATCACACTGCACAGTAAATTTGCCCATATAATATACAACTATTTTACTACCTTGTTATGTGTGGTTGTTGTGTTCTATAAAGTTGCTGAGAGCACTGAGTCAGTGAGTATTGAGCTTTTTATTCTAGGGGTAATACCAGGCCACATTTTTATCAACCAGTAAAAACATACCCTTGTTTCATGTGTGTTTAAGTGTGCTTTTGTTTACGGTACCTTATTTTTATTATTTTTTACTTTTGTATTCATTTTTTTTTAGGTAACACTGGATTACAACACTGTTTGGCTCAGAGGTATAGGAGCACATCTTTTCATTCCATCACACCCCCACCGAGGCGCCCAAAGTGCACTGGGCCCCCTTCCCAGATTGCTACCCCTGCCCTCTCTGGTAGCCTCAGTGCCACAGCCAGGTTTTCTAGGGTTTGTTGTTGGTTTTAAAGCCATTTTATCTAACATACATTATTGATTCATTAACCTTGAACTCATGGCAATAGCACGATTCCTCCTGCATGAATGAAGCTCATCTAAACACATGTATTTTCGTTTTTTTTTTTTTTAAGATAATTTTTTTTTTTTTTTTAAATAGAGGCATGTTTTTATTTATTTATTTGTTTGTTTGTTTTGTTTACACATGCACTGGGTACAGTCAGAAGCGCGGGAGGGTGAGAGAATTCACCAGAGCCAGAGCGGGGAGCAGAGCAGGCAGAAGGACCGAAGTACACTGCTGAGGGGAGCAGCGGGCGGCAGGAGAGGTCTGCGCGCCATGTGGGACCCGCCTCCGGTGGCCGGGGAGCAGCCGGGGATCGAACCGGCGCCGCAGAGGCTGTGGGCAGCTTCGCAACCCAGCGCTCAACCGCTGCGCCACTGGGGAGGCCCTAAACACATGTATTTTCTCCATAAAACTCATCACAACCCCCGTGTGCTTACGAACACCAGACAGCACTTCAACACTTAACTGGGGGGCCGTTTTAAACTGTGAAATTACCAACCAAAAGCACAAGGATGTAAAAAATGTGACATTAAATACGCCACAGGAAGGCAGCTTATTTATAGCGCGAGCGCTGAGGCGAGAAGGCAGGGCTTCCCTCCTGCAGGCTCAGTCGGGAATGTGCATTGGACGGCGAGAGCTTGTCATTCTGCACTGTGCGAGGATGGCCACGGGGACCCCAAAGGGGTGGATTTTGAGGGTGCAAATAAATTTTAGTGAGAAGGGGAATTTGCAAATAAAGAACCTGTGAATAATAAAGATTGACTGAATAGAAGGACTAAAATACCAGAACTCTTAAAAATATAGTATCATCACCACTGTTATGCTTAGATTCCTTACTATTATTGACTAGCTAGTCAGAATTCACATTTTCCCAATTGCCTTAGTAAAAAAGTAAGCATGAATTCATGGATTTAAGCCTATGTGATAGTTTTAATTCATTACAATGGTTATGATTATTAATTTTATAATTTACTTTTAATATCATTATTGCTGATGCTCATTGTCCCATCTTTGGCCAGGGGTAACTTCTCTCAGTTGGCATAATCTCAGTAGTTTTTTGGTGATTTTCTTGATTTCATCTATTCTGTGTTTTAAGTTCTTCTTGTTTATTTCCTATTCCAGTACCTGGAATTAACCATTTCCCCGAATGGCTTTAGTTCTTCTTGGTGAGAAATGGTTTATGGTGCGCAGAGACCCCAAGATGAGGGCTACGGGTGCTCATTGCTATTGGTGTTGTTTCCAGTCCCTTGGAGAGAACAGAGCTAGGGAATATAAGTGTTTATGGGCTTCTCTCTTTCTCTTAAAATATGTTACGAGTTTAAACCAATGCTTCCTTTTCAGTTTCAGGACCTCATGGTTTTTACTTAAACTCTTTTTACATATGCCTTTCTTCCCACACGCAGAATCTCTGTTCTCAGAAGCAGCATGGATGGTAGAATTAGAATATGACATAATTATCCAGTAGTTTTATCCCACATTAGCCAACAGCAGTCTTAGAATAGCAAAACCACACACCACCATCAGTAATAGTATTTGTGAAAACAGTTACTTTTTGTTGTTTTTGCAATTCTTTCTGTATATTCCACTAGGAACATGCAGTCGAATTAATATAGCTTCATTCTGTTTTGTTTTACCACCAAAATGGATAAATAGTTAGGTTTGCTTATTTAATTTTTTTTTTGTATTTGGGATTAATATTTTAAATTTGTCTGAAATTATTTTTCAAAATTATGTAGCATCAAAGCTATCTGTATCCAAAATATATTTAAATACATCTAGCTTCTAGCCCTGGCTCACCCACTGTATACTTTCCTTTCCTTTATAGAAAACACTTAAAAATTTTTGTGGTTTATTCTCCCCTTGAAAAATATAGCTAAATCTGTACATATTTGTATCTATCTGTCTCCTTCTTTCCTATGAAATAGTAGAATAGATACACATTTTTTTCTGTACCTTTTAAAAAAATCACTTTTTACTAATCTATCCTGAAAATTACCCCATGTGAACAATGGAGCTAGTCCTCATTCTTTATTATAGTTGTGTGGCACTCTGTTATATGGATGTACCACAGTTTATTCAACCAGTCCCTGAATATGGCATTTTGGTTGTTTTTGCCTCAGCTATTATAGTTAGTGGTCATGTGTATATATACAACTCTTTTGTAGATTTGCCTGTATGTATTTGGGATAGATTCCAAGAAGTGTGATTATTGGATTAAAAATGTGAATATATAATTTATGTAATTTTATTAAATATCTTTAATGTCTCCTACATAAGGGTTATGACATTTTGTATCCCTTTTTGCAGTATATAAAATGCCTGTTTTCCCAAACTTCACTAATATATGGTTTAATTTCTAGATTTTTGCTAATCTTTTGGATAGATGAGAAATCATTTCTCAAGTGTTTTAATTTGTGTTTCTTTTATTTTTGCCCAACTTAAAACAAAATAAAATGTAATGATGGCATATAAAATAATACATTTTATACAAAACCCCAAATCTTTATCTCTCTTAAAAAAATAATTTGGCAGTACTGAACTAACAATTCCACATGGTATGACAGTGGAACTGAGTGCCAGTTGTTCACTTTAAATAGGCATGTATTTTCCAGTTTATTATAGACTCCACTTTGCCTCTTTATTGGATTATACTACCTGCCTTTCCCAGTCAGCATATAAATTTGTCAACCCATTCCTTGACTTGGAAAGTAGGTGTATCGGTTATGCATTACCACAAAAATGCTGTGTAACAACCACAAAACTGCTGTGGCACATGACACTGAGCATTTATTGCTCTGGATCTGGAGTGGTTCACTAAGTGGCTCTGCTAATGTGAGCTGAGCTCATTCATATCTGGGAGTTCTTTAGCTATCTACTTATCTGGATTGTTCTTGGTCAATGGGTATGAAGCTATATGAAAACTGTGACTCCCTATATGTAGAAAAGTGTACATTGGTTGGTGTGTTGTTGCTCTTAGCATAAGCTCTCACTGATAGGTTTATGGTTGGTGTTCATGTCACATTTAGACCCATGTGTCTGACTGTGCCTCTGTACCTTTCTCGCTCATTCTTGAATTTCTCCCCTTTAAGCACATTCCCAGCACTGTACTCTCAGGCAGCTGCTAAATATCAGCAAGGATTTTTCTTCTACCTGGGTCTGTTGAAGATAGGACTGTACTGTAGTTCTGCATGGAGGACATGGTGGGGAGAGAAATGGAAATGATCTTAGGAAGTCTGAGTGCCCTAGCAGGAGGGATTCTGTCAGCAGACTGCATTGGACTCAAGCTGCAGCTCTTCCCTGGGTCTCCAGACTGCTGGTCTATCCTGCAGATTTTGGACTTGCAACCAACTTTGGTTGTTGTTTGTTTTCTTCTAAATTAACCTAAAGTTAAATACACTTCATCACTGGGAGAATTAGTTTGCTTCAATTTCATATGAAAAGATGACTATTTCTCACATGAACACAATGCTGACTTTATTTTCTGCCAAACACAACTCTGTTCTTAGGATTCACTCCCTGTTCTGAGTTGTACTACAGAGATTTCTGGCATGAACTGACAATGAAGAGTCTCAGCTCCAGGTAAGTACTCTGTAACTTCTGGGTTTTTCTCCCGCAATGGTGGGGTGATGAGTGGGGAGAAGGGCATGGTTAAGAGAAGTCTTTTCACTCAGCCACAAACCTTTAGAGCATTTTTATGATTATGCCCGCAAAGGATCTACACCCTTCCTGAGCACTTTTTATTCTCTGAAGCTATGCTGGACTCTGGGACTGGTTGGGTTCAGGACAAACCCAGACAGGGTGATGGCACAGATATAAGAATATTTTAGGCTGTTTTGTCTCATTTAACCTACCAGAATATGCATTCAAGTCTCTGGGACTCTGTGTGTCCTGGAGATGCTGGGTTTTGTACACTGGTAATGTTGACAGACAGGTTTTGACACCACCTCTTCGAGGGTCCCCAAGAGTGTATGAGCAAAGTCTCAGTAGCCAGACTGGAAAAGAGAGGAAGTGAGAGGTTAATGCTTGCTGGTGTGGCAGGCACTCCAGACTCCTGTGTGCTACCAGCAGCTGAGGCTGGGATATTCTTCTTCTTAGACTATTTTACAAATATTCCATGCATGGAGTGTTTGCTCTAAATATCCTTTGATTTGAGAGAAGCAACTATGTTTCATAGGGACTGGCAGTTGGGAGAAAAGTTGAAGGTACTCTATAGTTGGGGGCTGAGTTCTTAAATCTCTTAATTTCTAGATGCTGCAGAAACAAAAAAACACATAACAAGTACACAGTCTGAAAATCCTCTTAGGAATCCATTTCAATCTGTGCTTCAGCAGAGAATAGGGTTGTCATCTGAAAAATAAATAATTGTGTAGTCTCCCAGTCCACAATGGGATGAGCAAGGCACCCATGGGCTTAATGCTTCAATTCTGGGACTTATCCCCAGATTCCAACATTAATAGCCCACTGGAGAGGGTCAAGGGGTGAATGGGGGAGGGAGAAAGAAGTGGTAGTGCCAGTCTCCCAAAGAAGCCAGACTGGAAAAGAGAGGAAGACGAATTGTCTGGGGAAAGAAGACGAATGGAGGAAAGTGAGAACAGGAGCTCTTTGCGCCTGATATATCTGCCATCAGTTCAAGGCCTGAGGCAACTTACTAAGGCCTGAGTCTCAGCTTCCTGAGTAATATAGTGGGAATGTCAACTACCTTGGGGAACTGTTGCAGGTTAAGAACATATGTGTGCAAGAACAGCACATAGTAGGTATTCATAAATGCTGGTTGTTGTTGCTTTTATTTTTATCATATACCTGACTGTGAACCTGTGAGGAAGGACAATAGGCAGCCATTACCACCTTCTGTGAGGGCCTCTGGAAAGGGAGACAAGATGAAGGAAAAGACCCTTTGGTTGGGTGAGCCTGTGGTAGGTGGGGCTGAGAATTGAATCTTGGCTCCAGGTCCCCAGCTCAGTCTAATTAAAGGCCCAGAGTCTTGATAAGCCATTGCCTGAAGGGCTGGAGGAAAGGGACCAGCCCTGGGGACAGGTGTATGTTTTGTTCTTTGACCCTCAGCACCTTGGCGGGGGAGGCAGCTGAACTCAGGGCAGCTTTGTTTATCTGAACTCTGCTTATTGGGGCCATGGGTATATCTGAACAGAGTCCTCCACTGGCTGGCCTGTGTCCCTTTTGTAACCCCTTCGGGAGAGAGCCCTGCACTCCTGGTGAGTGAGGCTCTGTTTAGAGAGTTCTCTGGCCTTCTTAGTACGCATTTGTCTTAGATTATTCAGGAGTGTGTGCGTGTATGTTGGACCTAATTCAGATTAATTAATAGGAGGTCTGCAAGGTGAAAAACCTTAAAAGGAAAATGAATCAAAGACAACAATCCATGAAGCACACACTCTCTCTCTCTCTCTCCCCTCCCCAACCTCCTCGTACACCCCCTCCTCCCTCTCATAGTCTCCCTGCTGTTTTGATAAACTTGATACGAACACTACTTGTGGCATCATGGTAAAATCTTTTTTTTTTTTTTAAAGATTTTATTTATTTATACAAGAACTGAGGTACAGGTCAGAGGTGCGGGAGGGTGAGAGGATTCACCAGAGACAGAGCAGGGAGCAGAACAGGCAGACTGACTGAAGACACTGCTGAGGGGAGCAGAGGGTGAGGCAGGAGAGATCTGCCACATCATGTGTGTTTCCCCCCGGCTGGCCAGAAATCGAACCTGTGCTGTAGAGGCTGCGGACAGCTTCACAGTGCGGCGCTCAATCCGCTGCACCACCAGGGAGGCCCATCATGGTTAAAACTTGACCTTTCCACACTATCTGTGAAGGGTGTGTCAGGGTCATTTTCCCTCATACAATGGAACTGTTTTGAAGAATCAAGCTGCTCAGTGTGAAATAGCACCTGGAGTGCTGGCAAAGGCAATGGATTTGGGTATAGTTGACTTGAGTTGGGGCTGTGTGGACCTAGAGTAAGTGGCTTACCTGGCCCTAGCTGCACTTCCTCATGTGTAAACGATCTTGGTTAGCTTACTTCGTACATGTGCCTCATTTTTTTGCAATACAAGATGGCCCTCAACTTTATGTGATGGTTTGACTTAGAATTTTTTTGACCTTAGGATAGACAAAATCTATAGGCATCCAGTAGAAATTATACTTGGAATATTTTTGTCAGTGCTCCAGTGCCTTTTGCCAGTTAGAAGAGAGGGAAGAAACTGATGACCCTGTTGGGGTAGTAGCCCCAATATCTAGTAATTATTTTAGTTCAGTTCTGCAGACATTCTTCAGCCCAGTGTGCTGTCAGCAGTGTCTGGCGGTGGTGAGCACCCAGCCACCCTTCTGTTGTTCACTTTCAGCTTATTATTCAACACATCACATGAGCTGCTCAACACTTTATTATAGATGAGACTTTGTATTAGATGACTTTGCCCAACTGTAAGCTGATGTGAGTGCTCTGAGCACGCCTCAGGTAGATGGGGCTAAGTTATGGTGTTCAGTAGGTTTGGTGTATTAAATGCATTCTCAGCTTACAATATCTTTAAAATATGATAAGCTTATTGGAATGTAACACCATCATAAGTCAAGGAAGATCTGTATTTGTGTTTTTGTCTAAAATAGAGTTATGGTCTTTTGAAGATAAATAAGAACGGAAAACTCAACATTGGAATGTTAGGTGATTATTTGTAATCATTGCTTGGAATGTTCTGGATCATCTCAGGGTATTGGGGAAAATGCAAAAAATTTCCTGAGGTTTTATGACAGATAAGATTGAGAGGTATTGAAGACTTTTGGATAAGGAAAGACAAATGAATGTCCCTCAATTTTGATATCAAGAATCAACATTAGAAGAATAAAGACCCCACACTATATAGAGTGTGGAGCATGACGTAAGTTATTCTTGATAATCCTGGAAATACCAAACAGACCCAAACCCTCTTCTTCTATGTTTACCTTGCTCAGACAAAGCTGCAGAGGGAAACACTGATGACCAGGGGCCTTGGGTCAGTCTTCTTAGAACTGGAGTTTCATCCAGTAAGGCCATTGTTCCTGCATTAGAGGATTTTCTGAGGTTGTGGGATCCTGTTGTTTGACATTCTACATTGGGTGGTGGGATTGTGGGTGGGGAGGGAGAGTTTTATAGGGCCCCTTGTTGGATTGTATCTCCCAACAACTGGTTGCTGCTTTAAGAGAAGCAAATGGTCTGGGGTTTGGGCTGTTAATGAGCATTGGAGGGTGTTGAACATGAACTCCAATGGATTTGGAGAGACATCTGTGATAATATATACCTGGGCATCAGGGCTCCGGGAAGTCCATGTTTAGCAAACCCCAATCACTCTGGAAGAGTTCCAGTTCTCCCCATAGATTTCAGTATATATGATGAAGCTATAACCAGGGAAGGGAGAAGCAGAAGTTCTAGGATTCCAGGTGGCCCATCAAGGTTTCTTCAAAAAGATTAAGTTGTTTTGTTGTTTGGTGTGGGAGCTTCTGATCCAGAAGGGGTGCCCTACTATTCTCACCTATAGCTCTTTAAACCAGGGATCCTTTTGGAATATCTTCAAAAGGGTCACAAAAGAACTATAATAGAATTGCTTTGTAAACAATGCCCTTTATGCAACTTTAGGCTGTTGTAACAATTACTATCATTACGTTGATCTTCAGTGAAGTGTTTTTATTAATCTCAAATGGAGAACAGAGAAAGTGCCTCCTTACTGTTGGATGCAAGTCCGTTTCAGTGTTCCAAGAAGAAAATTCTCCCAGGAATATACTTTCATGGACTCTTTTCCTGAAGATGCTATTTTCCTCTAAGTGTTTACTGGTTAAGCCCCTGAGCAATATTATTCCCAAGACACCATAACATGGACAATATCCAACCTCTTATTCCCTTTAAAGGCAAACAATGTTGGTAGTTTTCTTGTTGTGTGGTCTATGATATTTTATCATCTTTACTAAGCAGTGTGAGAAGTTTAGAAAACGATGAGATTTCTGTTCTTGGCAAAATGGAAGATTAGAAATTCTAAAACTCTTCTATTACAAGACAACTAAAAATGGTACCTACTTAAGAAACGTACTTTTATTTTTTATTTTTTTTAAAGATTTATTTATTTTTATACAAGAACCGGGGTACAAGCCAGATGTGCGGGAGGGTAAGAGGATTCACCAGAGACAGAACAGGCAGACTGACAAAATACGCTGCTGAGGGGAGCAGTGGGTGAGACAGGAGAGGTCTGCTGCACCATGTGGGATCCTCGCTGGCTGGCCGGGATCAAACCCGTGCTGCAGAGGCTGCGGACAGCTTCACAGTGTGGTACTCAACTGCCTACGCCACCAGGGAGGCCCCAAGAAACATACTTTTAAATGCATGGATAACCTTGCAAGAAAATGAAGGAGACCAGGGACAAGTGGGAGTGGGGTGAGTACAGGGGCTCAGGGGAACACTGGTATTCTTGGCCCTCTGAAGGCACTAGCAATCAAGACAGACATGGAACAAGATGGCGGGACTTGTCCAGGTCTAAATACCAAGGAACTGCTCTCCCTTGTTGTTGTACTGTCACCAAAACAGAGGTTGGGAGAACTGACCTCCTTAATGAAGAG